AATGATGTGGCATCGAAACTTGGGCATATGTTTGAACAAGGAATGAAAATCCTTACCGAGCGAAAACTATTTACAAGCCTTACAAAGGTACCATTACCTCTTTGTGAGCATTGTATTATAAATAAGCGACATTGTTTAAAGTTTTTCACATCGAATTCTAGAAGCAAGGCTATTATAGAATTGGTTCACTCTAATGTATGGCAAGCTCTAGTTTTATCCCTAGGAGGAGCGAAGTACTTTGTGTCCTTCATTGATGATTATTTCAAGAGATGTTGGGTGTATCCAATCAAGAGGATGTCAAATGTGTTTTCGATCTTTAAAGTTTATAAAGCATAGGTTGAACTTGATTCCGGTAAGAGGATCAAGTGTCCGAAGATGGATAATGGAGGAGAATACACTAGTGATGAATTTGATAGATTCTACAAATAAGAAGGTATCAAAAGATAACTCATGATTGCATACACTCCTTAACAAAATGGATTGTCATAATGGATAAACGAAACTTATTAGAAAGAATGAGAGTAATGTTAAGGACTACGAGGCTTAGGAAAGGCATTCCGGTTAGAAACGATCAATATCGCCTATTATACTATGAATCCGACCCCATCAACTATAATTGAGTTGAAGACACCAATGGAGATGTGGACTAGTAGGCTAGTTGATTATTCAAACTTTCATGTATTTGAAAGTCCCGTGTATGTAATATATAATGCCCAAGAAATCATAAACCTAGATCCGAAATCTAAAAAATGCTTATTCGTAGGGTATGCCGACGGAGTGAAGGGGCATCGACTATGGGATCCCACTACCCACGAGGTTATTGTTAACAGGGAGGTCATCTTTGTAAAAAAGATCTACAAAGAAAAGAACACGGTGATAGCACTTCGGAGACTATAATGGTACAAGTAGAAAAGAAAGTTGAACAAAATGATTCTTTTGAATTAGCACCGGAGCACGAGGTACAAAAACTAGTCAAGTCCGAAGTTTCAAAATCTCGTTGATCAAATCATACAAAATGGCGACCAAATTTGCATTCGACTACATTATGGAGAGCAATGTTGCATACTACTTTTTAATTGAGGAAAGGGAACCATCAACACTCCAAGAGGCACCGAGTTACTCGGATGCGGATTAGTGAATTGCGACGAATGCAAGAAGAAATGGAAGCTCTTCATAAGAGTAAGACGTGGAAACTTGTGCCATTACCACGGAGAAGAAAAGCCATTAGCAACAAATGGGTCTATAAGATCAAGCGGATTAGCGATAATCAAGTGAAGCGGTATCATGCAAGATTAGTTGTGAAAGGATATGCTCAAAAAGAAGTAATTGACTTTAATGAAATAGTCTCACCTGTGGTTTGACTTATAACAGTTTGAGTAGTCTTAGCAACTTGTGCTATGTTTGACTTACATCTAGAGCGGCTAGATGTGAAAATTGCTTTTCTTCATGGAGATTTTAAAGAAGAGATTTATATGCTCCAACCGGAAGATTTTGAAGAAAAAGAAAAAGAAAAAGAGAACTCGGTTGCAAGTTGACCAAATATCTATATGGTCTAAAACGAGCGTTGAGGTGTTGGTCCAAGAGATTTGATTCATTCATTATGAGCCTTGGATACAACAAACTTAATGTAGACCCTTGTGCATATTTCAAGAGATTTGGCAAAAATGATTTTATTATTTTGCTATTTTATGTCTACGACATGTTGGTAGCGAGTCCCTAATAAATATCGTATTACGAATTAAAGGTACGAGTTGGCTAGGGAATTTGAAATAATAGATTTAGGACCAGCAAACAAGATTCTAGGGATGCAAATTCACCGAGACAAAAATAATAAGAAGATTTGGCTTTCTCAAAAGACTTATTTGATGAAGATCTTACAACGTTTCAACATACAAGATCGTAAGCCAATTTCTACCCCACTTCCTATTAATTTCAAGTTGTCCTCCAAGTATGAGTCCTTGTAATGAAAAAGAGAGGATAGAGATATCTCGAGTATCGTATGCATCAAGCAATGGGAAGTTTAATGTTTGCTATGATTTATACAAGGCCGGACATTGCGCATGCGATGGGAGTGGTTAGTTGATATATGGCGAATCCTAGTAGAGAGCATTGGAATGCGATAAAAAGGATCTTGAGATACATTCAAGGGACCTCGGATGTTGGATTATGTTATGGAAGATTAGAATTTACTATCGGTGGTTATGTTGATTTCGATTATGCGGGTGACATGGATAAAAGCAAATCAACCATAGGTTATGTGTTTACACTTACCGGTGGAGCTCGTAAGTTGAGTTTCAAAACTACAATCAGTTGTGGCTATGTCAACAACGGAGCGGAATATGTAGTAGCTACGCAATTCAGCTCGGTTGAAAATGGTATTGGAGAAACTCGAGCATAAATAAAAAAAGATTTCTCTATTTTGTGACAAGTCAAAGTCCCTTGCATCTTGCAAGGAATCTAGCCTTTCACCCAAAGACAAAGCATATACGTGTTCGGTATCACATCATTCATGAGAAAGTGGAAGAAGGAACTGTGGACATGCGGAAAATTCATACAAAAGACAACTTAGCAGATTTTCCGAAAAAGGCAATCAATGCCGACAAATTTATTTGGTGTCGATCCTCCTGCGGCTCGATAAAGACATAAGCAACATGTGAATGACAAGATAGAAAGAATAGTGTGAGGATCTGATTGACTCTCAATCAAATCTTCAAGTGGGAGATTGTTAAAGAAGTGAGCAAGTTGTACACGAAATTGTGAACAACTTGCATGCAAGCTACGACCAGCTTGCATGCATCGCCTCAATTGAGTCGATGCAAGCAAGGGGAGGCCTATTTACCCTATTCAAGAAACCATCCCCAAAAAGAGATAATATATATATATATATATATATGAGAGAGAGAGAGAGAGAGAGAGAGAGAGAGAGAGAGAGAGAGAGAGAGATTAGTTCTTAGAAAAATATAAAGAGTGTTTTTCTTATTTCAAGAGAGAAGTTTATTATTTGCTCTTTGTAGTATAAAAAGCGGTTGTAACTCCTATTATTTCTCATAGTGAAGTTCTTCTATCTTATTCGTGGTTTTTCCCCTTAATTTGTTTAAGGGTTTTCCATATAAAATCTATATGTTCAATATCATTGTTTTTTGTCAAATTTATTAGCTGCGAATCCTGTTCTATTCGGTCGATAACACAATGAAAAGAAGCATATTATCTGCATAAAATAAATAAGAAACATGAAAGTTACGGCTACCCATATGATAAAGAGTAATAGATCTTTCCTTGACCTTCTTTTCTATGTTTTCATATAAAATTTGTTGGACTAGTACAAAGAGAAACGGCGAGATGGGGTCCTTCGTTTAACTCCTAGGCTGGATTTGAAGAAGCCAAAACTTTGACGTTGTATTCTGACTTAATACCATATGTTACTGATACTTCTATATGCCAGGTCAAACCACTGATTATTGAATCTAATTCCCGTATAATCGTTAAAAGAAATGGTCATTCAACCCTATCATAAGCCTTTGATATATCCAACTTAACAATTTCCACCCTGCACTTTTTTATTCACCTCTGTAATCATGTCCTAAGCTATTGCTATATTTTCTGTGATATTTCTTCCTTTCACAAAACCTAATTGATTATGACTTATAATTCCCAGTAACAGTATAGTTAATCTATTAGCAAGAATCTTGGAAATTATTTACTACCGAAAGTAGAAAGACTAATTAGTCTCAAGTCAGAATGAGCAGTGGGATTAAGAACTTTGGAATGAAAGTAAGGGTAGTGGCTGCCATCCCTTTTGGAATCCATGCTCCTAAAAAGAAGTCCCTAACTACTCGGATTACATCATTCTTGACAATCTCCCGCCCACACCCACCCCTATAAAAATGTCCCGTAAAGCCATCCCATCCAGGTGCACTATCTGGGTTTAAGCCTTCAAGGTAACTGCTTTCCAAATTTCTTCCTCTTTTGGAATCTTAATCGAAAAAAAAAATTATTTTGATCTATGGATACTTTTGCTTCAACTTCGTCAAACAATACATCATGAAGGCAATACGGACCAGCCGTGAACAAGTTTTGAAAAAACTCCACTACTGCATTTCCAATAATATTGGGATCCTCTTTCATTGATCCATCTAACTTCCTGATACTGAATCGTGATCTCCTTGCATTATCCTTAATGCAAGCATGGAAATAAGTTGTATTTCTGTCCCCAAATCTGATCTAGTTACCCTAGACTGCCGTTGAGGAAGATCTGCCTTCTATCGCAGAAGTGTATTTAATTCTCTTCAAGTATCTGACAACTAATTAACCACCCTGTCATCCCATTGATTAACTAACTCCTTTTTCAGACGAAGGATTCCATCCTGAGCTTCTTCAAGCCTTCTGTTGATGTTACCAAAGACACTCCAATTCCATTCTTTCAGGTGACGCTGTAGGTGCTTAAGTTTTTGTTGCAAAAGAGACATAGGACTACCCATGAATTGAGTGCCCCATATTTTGGCACAAAAATAACTGAAATCATGATGGTCCAACCACATCTTTTGAAATCTAAACACAGCTCGACCCATCCTTAGCATACTAAATTTCAGTAGAAGAGGAAAGTGATTTGAAATATTCCTGGGGAGATGATGTACCATTTGTGCTGGAAATTCAGCTTTAAAATTACCATTCACTAAAACTCTATCCAAACGTTGCTAAACTCTACTCCTCGGACCCTGCTTATTACTCCAAGTGTATTTGCTGCTTTGGAAGCCAGCATCATCCACTCCTATCTGCCTACAACATTTGTTAAAATCCTCCGCACTAAGAAAATCGTAACCACTGCCCCCAAGCATTTCTGAGATATGTGCAATAACATTAAAGAAGGGAAGATTCATGTTTTTGGCTAGATCTAGTGGAGTTATGTTGAAGTGTACTTCTCTAGGAGAAAGTCCTAACAAGTACTAATTAATACCTGGAAACATGGTGCTGCAGCCATAGGTCATACGACACTTAACGAAATGAATCAAGTAAGACAGCGGGTGAATTCCAATGGAAGTGCTTCTGGACCTAATTCGTGAGTAGGGAGTGAAAGAAATGACATAGTTCATGATCAATATTTAATATGTTTAAGGGCACACAATATAAAGGAGGATCCTTATGGGAACAGAAATTTAGCTACTATCACTTCTTTGTGACCTGCAATGATGTTCCTGTGGTTTTTACTGTAGGAATTTCACATTTTCAAAACTCTCATGTTCTCCAATTGCTGATGTTGAAATACATACAAGGATTTTTCCCTCCTACAAATTATGCTTTCTTTTGCTCTTCCTGATGTGGGAAATGGAGTAAAGTACAGGTAACTTGAATACCCTGCTGAATATATATATCTGTAACCTAAGTCAGCATTTCTTCAATCCTCTCGCTGAGGAATGACGTAAAGGACATGTATCTTCAAATTCTCAACTCTACATTTATCCTGTTATCAAGGGAATTATTTCTTATTAATGAGAGCTGTGATGCCTCTCTTGATTTTCAATGACATTTATGATAAGAAGCTGGACTAGACTAGAGCACCAATAGAACTACTAAAGTATTTCTAATCGCACAACGGGAAAAAGTGCCGCATTATCAACTTACCATGACAAATAACTCGTGCTTTCGGAGGACTATGCTAGCTTTTTGGACAGGTTCTGGAAATTCTGATATAAGACCTAAGCTGATCGGCTGTACCAAAAGAAGTTTTACAGGTCTAGTTTTTGCATCTATCCAAGAGGGCCTCCTCTTGATGGTGCTCCTATAGCAGTCGTGATCCATCAAGTTTTTATTCCTAGTGATAATCTCTATCGTAGAAGAAGTGAGCTTGTGAAGGTAATTATGTAATTCCATGCAAATTCGCAAGCCCTTCAAGTGGAATTTTCTTCCTGTCAATTGTGATGAGTTTCACATGTTAATGTACGAGCTATGGCAGCACGCCTCACCTTGTTAGGTACTGAATTCCTGGAAGATGTTTCAACATATACTTGAGGCTAGACATCTCTGCATCACACTAAGCAGCAACGACAAGCAACATTTCACTTGATACTGGTATTTCTAAAATCTTATCAACTCATGGATCTGCACAAAGGCTAAGGTGTATTTGTTCCTTCATTCCTTAAATTTTCTTCCAACTCAGTACGCTTTACTACTTCAAAAGAAGGAGATATCTTCATAAGGCTTACATATCAAGTCATGGATCGGCCTGATGCTGAATGTATCTACCATGAATGGTAGGTAGCGTAGAATTTTATCTTCTGATAGTGAGTAGCGGTGAAATTACTTAGATTATTGCCTAATAAATGTTATAATTAATACTAGAAAAGTAAGTAATTTAAGTAATTTCTAAAACTGGCTTAATCTTTTCATGTCTTGCATGTTGAACTTTGTGTCAACTTGACAGCTGCTTATTCACTATATTCTAAGGAGTCATTTGACTCTACTTTAATTCTTTCTTAGAGTCATGCATTGCATTTGATTTTCTTGTTAGTTGTTATCTGTTTAGAACTTTCTTAGTTCATTATTTATGCATTTGTAATCTAGACTTCATTGTCAAGCAATTTTCTGATAAAGAATAGCAGTGTTTATTCTTCGCTTTATCTGCTCAACTTGTTAGTGTTTCTAGCTGCTCTTGTTCATAAGCACTGGGCCACAAACCATGTACAACACTGACATGACAGAAGCAGAGTACCAGAAATAACTGACAATAACCGAATTGGTTACTGCTTAAAGCATCCATTCATTCCCTCTCTGCAACCGCCAAAACATTAACAGCTATTATTATTTCTTTATTTTAAAGAATCAATTCTCTTCTCTTCTTTCGTCTCCAAGAAACTTTCCTGAAGAAAATGGGGCCACTTGAGTAACTAAACCGCTTTCACCACAATATTATCAATCCCCGAATTGCCAATCGCCGAAGAAGATTTGACAATCCTTTTCCTACACTAGCTCTTTATATCTTATTCATTTTCATTGCCTCATTCCTTTACCTGCTCAGCTGGTACGCCACAAAGTTGTCCCTCCCTCTTCCTCTGGTACTCTTAATTTGTTAATTTGCACTTTATAATTTCATATTATCTACTTTTTCTCATCGTTACATCTTCTTTCTTCAAGATATTCTAGCTTTTATGCCCTTCTATAGATTGCTTTTATGTATAAAGGTTTGACTTGATATTTACCTTGTACTTCTCTCTTTCTTTCACTCTTTGTTCTGAGTTAAGGTTCTTTAAGGATTATTAAAGCTGCACCACTTGCTTTGTTTGCTTTCTTGCATTTCTTTTTCCTCTTCATTTTATTGCACGTTTTGGGTTTTGGTCTTAGAGGAAAATTTCAATTACCCTGATTTTCCTTCTTTTTTTTTTTTTCCTTTTCTTGTCTTTCTCTAATTTTCTTGGCTCTTTTTATCTCCTCTAAATGCTACTCTTTATGGTTTTTGAAGGACATATCATCTATGAAGGAGGATTGGTTTTTGGACGAGAATTGGTCTTTGGAGGACTATTCGACTAAGGATTCTATGGGTGATGTACATCACTCAGAAGCATTTTTCTTGCTGAATTATGCGGCAATGATGAAGGATTTTAAGATCTTTGTGTACCCTGGTGGAAACCCAACAACATGTTATCTTCCAAAAGACAAGCTCAAGAGCAAACTTGGAAGTGAACATTACTTCTTCATGAATCTGATATACAGTCGGTTCTTGACGAATGATCCTCATAAGGCTCATTTCTTTATTCCCATTTCTTGTCTAAAAAGGGGAGGCAGGGTATTTCTTGAGCCCTAATTTGCATGTACTTGATGGAGGGTTACAAGTTTTCTGGTTTAATTCAAGCAAGCATATCTTTTTCTAATGCAGGAGAAGGTTATCAAGACTTATGTCAAGAGCTTGACGCTCAGATACCCTTACTGGAATATGACTTTAGGTGCTGATCACTTTTTTGTCAGTTGCCATGACGTTGGCAGCCGGGCTACTGAAGAAGTTCCATTTCTCCTGAAGAATGCAATTCGACTTGTTTGTTCACCAAGTTACGATTCCAACTATATCCCACAGAAGGATGTTGCCCTCCCACAGATACTGGAGCTTTCTGTTCCTCCGACTGCAAAGTCTCGCCCTTTCCTGCCATCATCAGAGTAGATGCAACCTCCCAGGTAAAATCTGGCATTATAGTTTCCCAAGTTTCACATACCTTCAGGGAAGCCTTTTTTGCTCCTTGATATGGACTTGGAAGTCACATTGTCAAGCTATCTGAAGAGGTTAATTCTTGTTATCTAGATTGCATTTAATGCATGCTTTCATATTTTTTGTATGGAAGTAGTTCACCAGCAGAATAAGTGCTGCTTTGGCTAAGTTACTGTGGAGAATATCGCAGGACTAAACTTGGTTTCTGGGCTGGTTTTCCCAACTCAGATGTAAGAAAGAATCTTCGAATATTTTGGAAAGATGTTTCAGGATTTGACATCCACACCGTCGACAAAAGGGCAGAAAGGGCAGCTGTACTAAGCGCTTATGAACAGGAATTATATGAGAGTAAGTTTTGCATCTGTCCTCGTGGGGAGACTCAAGTCGATGGTGTTTGCTTAGCAGAGTCGATGGCTTTTGGATGTGTTCCTGGTAAGAATACTTCTAGTAAGGCTTTATTTATTTATTTATTCCCCCTTGTTCTGTTGAAGCGTAGATAGTAAAATGGAAGAGAGGATGTCTAAGTCACCACAGCCTTTTGGATGTCTTTCTGATTCTGCAGTTATCTTGTCTGACTACTATGACTTGCCATTCCATGATGTTTTTGACTGGAATAAATTCTCTGTAATGGTCAAAGAGAATGATTTTCCCCGTCTGAAACAAATTCTTGAAGGCATTCCAGCAGAGACGTTCGAGCAAATGCGTCAAAATGTTCTTCAGGTACAAAAATGTTTTTATCTTTTTTTGAGATTTTTTTCATTGTGCTCCCAAACACTTCATTTTGGATGTGTTCTTCAGGTACAAAAATGCATTTATTTTATTTTGTTTGCAGGTTAGAAAGCACTTCAAGTGGAATTCTCCTCCTGTCAAGGACGATGAGTTTCACATGGTTATGTATGAGCTATGGAAGCGTCGCCATATCATTAGGTATTGATTAATACTGGAATATGTTTCAAGTTGTACAGAAGAGAAGATTTCTCTCATTACTGGTTTCTGAAGCTCAAAGCTCATAGCATTGCTTGATGTATCTATTCCTTGGTTCCTCAATCGAGTTTTTCCCCACTCTTTAACTACTTCGGCTGGAGGAGATATCTGCCATAAGGCTTACAAATTATATGAAATTGTGGTTTTTAGTAGCCTCTCCTGTCTTCACATTCAATGCAGTAAAACTCTGCCGCCAACAACTTAGTATCAGAACAACATCACCATTATCAACCTCTTTTCTTTTCTTTTCTTTTCTTTTCTTTTTTCTGTTTTTTGGTTTGTAATATTAGTATGTGAGATGGGATGTAAGATCCTCAGAGAGGGACTGTTTTGTTGAAAAGAAAAACAAAGGGGACTATAGAGATGATATTATATTAGTCTTCTAGCCCATTAGTGACCCTTGTTCATGTTCCATGGGCTGGCCCGAAGTTCTGGCACTCCATTTTGGATGATATTAAAGCTCCGTTCGCTTGATAAAAAATAACTTTCAATAAAAAAATCAATTCTAAAAAAACTATTTTTTAGAAAGTTTTTTTTCAAAAAATATTTTTTGATGTTTGGCAATTATATGAAAAAATTATTGAAAAATATATTCAGCATTTGTTTAAAATAGAAAACTAAAATAAAAAAATTAGCTATGATTGTTACATCAACTAGTTTTAAAGAAACTTCAATTAATCATATTTATAATTTTATAATATAAGATGCATTTATAAAAAATTAATAAATTTTCATAAATACTGACTATAAAATTTAAATTCAAAAAATAAAAAAATAAAATGTACATTTTTAACCATCAAACTAATTCATCAAAATTATTTTAGACAAAATCAAGTCAATATTCATATTTAATAAATAAAAAAATTATAAGTAATCCTAGCACTATTATTTTGGTAACTCAATTAAGATTTTTTTTTTTTTTTTTTTTTGGGAAATTGAACTCATAATTTAGTCTAAAAAATATTTTTACAAATTATTAGTTATCATTTGTAGATAATTATTTATTTGATTTTAAAAGATTAATGTTATAATAATTTATAACTAATTATTGACTACAATTACCAATAAAATTTTACAACTGATTAAAATTAGTCACAAAGCATTGATTTAGTTGCAAATGAATAGCATTGAGAAAATAATGTATTTATTAATGAATTAATTAGTTTCAGATTTTTTACAAATGATTGCAATCTTGTAATAATCATTTTCAATCATTTAAGTATAGTTTAGGTGGTATTTGGGATAATGGTTAAAAAAAATAGAGATAAATTATTGAAATATTTATTATAAAAATAATTTTAAGGTGTAAAAATGATTTTTAGGAATATTTAATGCATTTATGAATTGAAAAATCAAATGTTAGTAGCAATAGAGAAAAATAATTAAAAATTAATTTAATATATTTTAAATCAAAAAGAGACAGAGAAAAAAATTGTTAAAAATATATCAAGTAAGAGGTGAGTAACACGAAAGTGAGACAACTCATAAAAGAGAGAAAGAAAATATTTTTCTCTTTTTTAACTCAAAAAAACACTTTTCTAAAAATATTCTATCATTTTTTGTTGAATGATAATTATTTTTTATTGACTTTTTTTCTAAATTTGAAGCAAACATCGAAAAATGAAGGAAAATGGGAAGAACAAGTTCCTAAAACTTATTTTTCTTCAAACAAACATAGTCTAATTGTTGACAAATTATATGTGGTGAGGGAGAGAGTGGCAGGTGAGATGAGAATATGTAGTTTAGGAAACAATTATTTGACAGTAGAGATTGTTTTATGTAAAGTATGATTTTTGAAAAAAAAAAACATGGTATTTGATATAATTTATCCAAATAAATAACATAAATGTTATGAATCGTTTCTTCCAAGTAGCTAGTATTCAATTTAACATTTTAGGTAATTTATTATTTTTGGGTTTTAAATTAAGAATCCTTTTCTGCCACGTTCAAATAGGAAAATAGATAGACATTTTTTTCTTTTTAATTAAAGATAGGATAAGATTTACAAAATTATGTTATTCACTGTCTTTTCTTAATTTTTTGTTAATTCTCAAAGATTATATCGAAGCAAAATTATTTGTTCCCAAAATTGGCTGGAGGTTGAATATGCATGCATGTACATAAATCTTCGTTAATTATCAAATATTATATGAAAACAATATTTGTTCCCAAATTTGGCTGGTTGAACATGTATATAAATAGACCAAAGCCATGTACGTATTCAGACTTCAAACCAAAGCCAAAAGCTCTGATCTTAGCCCAATTCCATTGGAAACAATGGTGAGTTTCTCACACACATTCATCATTTCTTTCTGTTTATTTGTTTTTTTTGTTTTTTTTTTTGTTTTTTTTTTTATTCTATTTTACTTTTTTGAGAAGATGTGCTTCATAGTATAATATATGAATATTGCACCATAATTTACCCCAAAAAAATTTATATATATATATTGATCAAAACGAAAGAAATGATTAGAAAGTTATGCTATGTTGTCTTGTGGTTGGAAGGAAGGTGTAATATTTTTTTTGCCATCTAAACCAATAATTGATTGTCATGTGTAATATTTTTATGATTTTTTACATAGATTTAAAGTTTATATTATATTTTATGATTTTATGATTCATGGTTGAGGATGTAATTTTTTTATTTTTTTTAAGCTTATATTTTGTTTTTATAATATTTATTTTTATAATATTGTTTTTATAATAATTGATTGCTTGTGATGGATTTAGATCTTCCTAATTAATGGAAAGCAAGTGGAGCAAAATTCAACTCCAATTTGATTTATTACCATCCTTGTTCTTGAAAAAACACAAATAATAAAAATAAAGTCTAAAGCAATAGATCGATGTTAATTATATAAAAATAATTTTTTTTAAAAAAAAGTAAAATTAAAGAACTACTATATATATATATATATATATAACATTTCAATGATATTGATTAATTTAATATTTAACATTTGATACTAATTAATTGCATTAATTTATTTCCCAGGTAAGATCGATGACTATAAGGATTACCCAAGCAATTCTATGCTTGTTGTGTCTATTGAGCCGTAATATTGAAGTGGAAGCTGGTAGACAACTATCTAGAGAGGAAGATTTGGAATTAGAGAAGCAACTTAAACTTATGAATAAGCCAGCTGTGAAAACAATTAAGGTAATTAATTATATTTATTAATTCTCTTAATTACTCATGTTTGTAATTTAACATCATACTAATTATTAAATGTTGGTTTGAACACTATTAATTAATTAATTGAAAATATATATTGTCATTAATAAAAGACAATATATGGAGATATATACAATTGTGTAGATTTCTACCAACAACCTGCTTTTGATCATCCATTGTTGAAGAATCATACTTCTGAATTTAAGGTACGTACCTATGTTTCCAATTTCATAATTTCTTCCTTCTTCTCAACTATGTATTGTAACTTTCTTCTTAAGATAAAGTTCTCCTGATCGATGATGATGTAGGCGAGACCTTCATTTACCCCCAAAGAGAGTAATACAACATATAAAGATCACTCAACCATCTTTAATCCAAGAAATATATGGCTGAATAAGAAGGGTTGTCCAATTGGTACAGTTCCAATCAGAAAAACTACTAAAGATGATCTTATCAGAGCCAAATTAGCTGCAGAAATATATTCTTCAAAATTCAATCCTCAAAGTGGTGAGACTCCTGGTCTCCATGTAAGTTATTTCTCTCACAATTAGTGCAATATCTACATTGTTGTTCTTAATTACAGCATATATGTTACTCATAAAAAGTAAAAATAATGCTAGCCAGTTACACAGCTAGGAAGAAGATTGACAATTAATTATATGCTACAGCTTGCTATCCTTCGCACCCAACCTGATCCAATCAAGAAATACTATGGAGGTGGAATGAGTCCTGCTATATACAATCCACCAGTACAAAACTCTCAATCAAGCTATGCTCGCATGAAAATTAAAAATGGAGCAGACTACATAGAAGCAGGGTGGATGGTAAGTCAATTTCCAGTTCTAGTGAAACAACCAATGCTTTAATTTGTTCTAATCAAACTCCATTTATATATTGCTTGTATTTGAACTCTGCAATATTGCAGGTGAATCCAACTATCTACAAAGATAATCAGACTCGATCGTATATCTATACTAATGTAAGCACTTACGTTTATTAATTTTATATAACCGTTTTGGGGCATTTTATTACCGACATTACATTATAGCGGCAGCTCCTATTTTACTACTGTAGTAAGCCGTAATTGTTTTTTCAACTGCATCGATCTGTAATTTAAAACTATGCCTACAATATAATAAATGGTTTTTGTTACTCACAAGCATTTCAAACCAATACAATACAGGCCGGAGCATCCCAATGTTTCAATTTATATTGCTCTGGGTTTGTACATGTGTCTACAGTCATCCCAGTTGACGCTGTTTACGTCCCGGTTTCAGAACCAGGACCCGAGGGAAAGAAATATATTGACAAATTCAAGATTGAACGTGTAAGTTTTCGACATTAATTGAGTTGAATGGTGATTTTTAAGGATATCAGAAAATCATATCTTTATACTTGTGATTCTATGTACGTAGGATGACATACCTGGAAATTGGTACCTGACGATTGGGTTTAATGATACTATTGTTGGATTTTGGAATTATCGGATATTCAAAACTGGGCTGAATAACTTTGCTACCTACATCGATTGGGGAGGACAAGTATATGGTCCTCCAAATCTGCCAAGTCCAGGAATGGGCAGTGGAGAGAAGTTCGTCCAGGACATGACATACAATGCATACTGTTGTCAACTCACTGTTGCAAATCAAACTCATTCCATGGATCTTGAAGGTGTTGAAGAATATGTAGATGTTGATGCCTATAGCTTACGTGATTACGGAAATATCGGAGGTTTTTTTCGACGTTACTTCTTGTATGGGGGCTCCGGTGGTTACATAGGAAATTGACGGGTTTCTGTCTCTTTTTTTCTTTTCTTTTTTTTTTTTCTCGATTTATTAAAATAAAAAAAGTCAGCATTCTTGAATTTTCTGTCAAATTGACGGGTTTCTCTCTAATTATTTATTGGGCCCGTAATGGACTGAAAATATAACACATAGCACAGCAATCAATCTGAGTTCTGACCATGCCATGCACGCACGTTTGCTGTTCCAATCCAGTCCACATAAATCTCTACATTCTGATTCTTCACTCATAGACTTGGAGTCCGATAATGGATGGTTCTCTGGTTTAACCACCTCCTGCAGCTACGCATGTTAAGTTTTTTAGGCAAAACAAAATTTGGAAGAGGAGTAGTGATTTCTCTCACTCTACTCTGCTGCATTTCATCTTTATATAACGGTAACAAGGAACATTCAAAACTCGACTAACTAATCTTGGTGAAATTCCCTAACCGGCCTTGACAATTTAAAATAGACTAACACACATGGAAAACACACGTGGGACACTTATAACAATATCAACTAACTATGCTTTGATACCCCCTCGGCAAGCTGGAGTTGGTGAATAAAAATCTAAAATGCCCGACTTGGAGATTTGTAGAGTGAAGTCTGCAGTGCCAATGGCTTGGTGAAACAATTAGCTAGTTGATTAGCTAAACCTATAGGAAGGAGATGGACGATCCCTTGCGAAGCTTCTCCCTCACAATGTGGTAGTCTATTTTTATGTGCTTTGTTCTTTCATGGAAAATAGGGTTTTTGGCGATATGAATTATAGAGTGGTTGTCGCAGAAAATCAATGTCTGGGTGAGTGTGAGGAAGATGAAGGTCTTTTAGCAAGTATATCAGCCATTGCATTTCACAAGTAACCGCTGCAAGTGCCCCGTATTCCGCCTTAAAGGAAGACCTTGAAACGATCAGTTGCTTCTTTTATTTCTAGGAGATGAGCGATGAACCCGAAACATGCAAAAACCAAGTGACGGAACACCTATCGTCCACACCGACGACCCAATCGGATCATAGAAGCCCTTAGCCCTTAAGTTAAAGCTGATTGTTTGAAGCAAAAAATAGACCTTGGCCGAGAGCACCTTTGATGTATCGAAGTACCCTATGTGCTACCGTAAGGTGAGCTTGGGTTGGTCCGTCCGAAACTAACTTAATTGTTGGATCGCATAGGAGAGGTCGAGTCTAGTGTTTGTGAGATAGAGTAAGTGGCCAACCAACTTTCCGTTGATAGAAGTATCGGGAAGAAGAGTGCTATCTTCGACACTTAACTTGACGAGTAGCTAACATAGGTGATTTTGCGGGTTTGGCACCAATAAAACCCGCATCTTGCAATAATTCTAGGGCATATTTCCTTTGACATAAACTGATCCCATGAGAAGATCGTGCAACCTCAAGGCCTAAGAAGAACTTTAACTCGCCCAAATCCTTGATTTTGAATGTCTCATGTAAAAAGGCCTTTACTTGCTCCTATTTCTTTGATATCATTATCGGCTAAAATAACATCATCAACGTAGATGAGTAAAGCAATGAATGAAGAAGATGTGGATTTGATAAAGAGAGAGGGATCGAAGCACCCTAAACAAAATGTTGGGCAAGGAGAGCAATAGATAACTTCACATAACATTACCTATCGGCTCTGTTTGAGGCCATAGATAGACTTTAACAAACTGCGTACTTAGTTTGGTTTTGGACTCGAAATCCCAAAGGCAAATCCATATACACTTCTTCTTCTAAGTCTCCATGAAGAAATGCATTATTAATGTCCAATTAGTGTAAGTACAAATTGTTAATAAGCTGCATTTGCTAACAAAGTTCGATTGTAGTCATCTTGGCTACTCGGAGAAAAAGTATCTAGGTAATCCACACATGCTTGTTGTGTGTATCCCTTAGCAACCAGATGGGCTTTGTACCTTTCTAGGGACCCATCAGCCTTATACTTGATCTTATACACCCATTTATACCCTATACTTTGTTTACCGAAGCATGCGGATCGGTGAGTTCTCAAGTATGATTATCTTGCAGAGCCTTAATTTCTTCATTCATAGCTGTTTTCCAGCAATCGAACTTAACTGTTTGATGGTAAGTACTAGGCTCTATGGTAGTAAAGATACCGACACTAAAGAGTTTATGAGGTAATGAACATTTAGAATAGGATAACACCGAAGATAAAAAGTGAGGAGTAAAACATGTGGGAGGAAAAAAGCACAACCAATAGAAGGCAAAGCTTGAGTTAGTTGATTGTGTAATGCATAATGATAATTTTGAAGATATGTAGGAGGAGTTTTGGATCGTGTGGATCGTCTAGGAGGAGCGAGAAATGATTCGAAGAAGCATTAGTTGAAGGAGGGATGGAAATAGGTGAGGTGGTTAAATCGATTGAGGGTATGGTAGTGTCCGTCAAAGGAAATGTAGGGTGAATGTTTGTGCAAGTCTCCGGAAGTGGTGTTTGGAAGCACAAAATTAGGAGAGAATGTAGAATGTTGAGACAAACAAGCAAAAGGAAAGATGTGTTCATAAAAAATGACATCTCTAGACACTATGATACTGCCATTATGTAAATTATAAAGTTTATAGCCCTTTGTGCCAGTGGGAAAACCCAAGAAAATGCATTTGGAAGCTCTTGAATCAAACTTAGCCTTCGGGGCAAGATTAGATACAAAATAAAGACAAGTCGAAGACCTTAAGATTATTATAAGTGGGAATTTTTCCAAACAAAAGCTCGAAGGTGTTTTATCATTCAATACAATGTAGGAATTTTATTGATTAAGTGAACGAGCATGAAGAATGCAATCCGCCCAAAAAACAAGTAGAAGATTGGCTTGAAACCTAAGAGCCCTAGCAACTCGTCGGTATGTGTTGATGTTTTCTCTCAACAATACTATTTTGTTGGGGTGTTTTGACACAGGAGGTTTGATGGAGAATGCCTTTCGAAGCAAAGAAAGAGGGCATATTGAATTCTTGGCCATTATCTCGTTCGAAGGTCGAATCTTGGTAGAAAACCGAGTTTCAACAAGAGTACAATAATTCTCAATGAGCTTTCTTCGTCGATTTGTGTTTCATCGGAAAAACCCGGGTAGCTCGACTATAATCATCAACAATAGTAAGGAAGTATTGATAGCCGAAAAAAGAAGGAGTTGCCATATGACCCCAAATATCTACATGGACAAGTTCAAAACACTTTATAGAAAAAGAGGAACTAATGGGAAAGGGAGGACATTTTTGCTTTGCATAATGGTAAATATCACATTGTGGATTAGAGATGTTAGTAGGTACATCTTTACACGGAGAATGTAAAGCAATTAATCTAGAATTTGAAGGGTGACCTAGTCTATAATGCCATACATCAAAAGAATCAAGAACAATGGTATTTGAAGCAAAAGTATGATGAGCATTTAAGTGGAGTGGAGTTATCAACCGATACAAGCCTTGTTTACGCTCGCCTATACCAATCATCCTCTTTGATTGATGGTCCCGTATAACACAAGAATCAGAATGAAAGAACAAGGAGCATCTTGAGTTTTTGGTTAGTTGACTCACTAAGATAAGATTGAAGGAAAAAATAGGAACAAAAAGAGCATTGTGCAAGATAAGTGCATCGGATAGTCGAACTAATCCAACATATGTAACTACTACTTGTTGACCATTAGGTAACTTGACAGAGATATAAGAAACTAGATTGTATTCATAAAAAAATTCTAAAGAGCAAACAATGTGGTATGTGGCACCGGTATCTAATATCCACAAAGTTGGATTAGAAATCACAAAACCACAAAAGGAATTATAAGTACCTGTCGGGGAAGTGAAGTTGCTAGACAAGGCATTGACATCGGTAGACACGACAGTCGTGATTAGGGTTGAATTAAGGCTAGAAGTTTTGAGTATTTGTCTATAGTGAAAGAAGCTTGCACACCACCGTAAACAGGACTAAAATCACCGAAGCAATAAGTTGATTGCTAGGAAACACACTACTAAAAGAATTACCGACTTCATGTAGGCCTTCATTACCATAAATCTAAACCCGATTGGCAAAGCCATTAAAACCACCACGAGTTTTATCAAACGATTTGTAACTCGAAGGAAATCCATGCTTCGATAGCACCTATCCACTCGTATGTCCCGGAAGACCACAAAACACACACTAAAGCTTTGACTTCCCATTATAAACCGGCTTCCTCTTACTAGTGAAACCATCTCTTTCGAAGCAAGGACTCGCCGAAGAGGAGGGGGAAAAACTTTTACGACCTTGCCGAGAACGATTATGCTCGAGGCACAAACCTATTAAAGAAAACAAGCACTAGGATTGTTGTTGCTACTTGAACTTGATACTCCAAATCCTTGAATATAGGAATAAATCTCCTCTTGAAGCTCGCAATTACGAAGTAATCATCATGGGAGAATCGATCATGTAGATCCGACCGGACTTCTAGAGCACTATCTAGCCAAATGACGCTTTGAGCAATCTTAGGAGAGAGAGATCGAATGAGCCAGGAAAGCACCATCGTATTGCATCTCTCCCAAGCCAAATATAAAGCATCGGACTTGTCTAGAACTTTGATAGTTCCATCAACAAACCGTAGTTTGTTCTTAAACGAAGCGTCATCCTCATAGAGCAATGCTAGGGATGATAGTTAGAATCGAGTGAGTGGAGGAGAAACCAAAACAAGAGAAGAATTCTCACTAGCATGAAGAAAATAAGGACTAGACATTTGTTCCTCGGGTCTCAAACTTGTGAAATTCATAGACAGATTGACAGAGGATGCAATCATTCGACTTTGGAGAGATGAAAGAAAATTTAGTTGTTTGGCTCCTCGGAAAACTCAAGAAAGGAACCTTCTAGAAGCTTGATGCATGCTTTGATATCATGTTAAGTTTTTGAGGCAAAACAAAATTTGGGAGAGGAGTAGTGATTTCACTCTACTCTGCTGCATTTCATCTTTATATAACGGTAACAAGGAACATTCAAAACTCGACTAACTAATCTTGATGAAATTTCTTAACTAACCTTGACAATTTAAAACAGACTAACACAAATGAAAAACACACGTGGGACACTTATAACAATATCAACTAACTATGCTTTGATACCTCTGCTGTCATCGGAGCAGTTTGATTGGCCAATAAAATCATACGAAACTCTTATCATTTTCAACTACAGATCCCAAATCTTTCTCTAAATTAGGAGAAGAATCAACTTTTGCAGGCTAATCAATGCCAACCTTAGCTGTTGACATAATGGAACTATTACAAGAAGGAAAAATTGTGGGATGCTCCTCATCATACTTGACTCGTCGCGGTCTTTTTCGTTTTAGGTGCTGCAGATTTAAACCAAAGCCCAAAACGTTTCCCTGAACATGTATAAGGAATGAAATAAAAATGAGGAATCTTTGCACTGATCACAAATTTTTCATCCATTTCCCTTGAAGTCACCAGATCATTGAGAGAGGAAGAAGTCAAGAACCATGTAAATGAAACCACCTCTGCTCAAGAAAACTCGCCAATTGCAGACATCCATGGGAGCAGCAGAAGTAGATTTAGAATGTGGAATGGAAGATGACTGAGGAACAGTGGACTGTGAAATTCGTTCCATATAATTTATCAACATGTCATGTGCCAAGAATACCTCACAACTAGAATTAGGGCTGGATGAGCCCAAATTTTCACTTGATTTTGTATCCTGAAACAGATCTTTGTAATTAACCGCCGGCTTTTTTCTTTTTTTTCCCCTCTCTCTGCATAGAAGCCTTCAGTTTAGCAAGAAACCACTTCCATTCGCTTCAATTTTCCCGAGAAAAACAAAAACAGCACAAAGGAATCCATCCAAGATCAACCAAATCATGGCATTCGTGAGAGTTTCGAATCGCAGAGGGAATAGCAAAGATCAAAGAACAGGTAGAGATACTAATGCTGGGAAAAAAAATGTTGGGGCTCAGCCACAAACAGAAACAAACAATGCAGAGAAGAAGAAAAATTCAGTGTTCTGTGTATTCTATTCTTCTGTGCAGTCATCTTTTTTTGTATTATCTGGATTTTCTATCCAAGATTAACCCTCTACCCCTCTACATCCCCACTTTCTGATCTTGAGGTATTCCTCACTTTCTTGAACAATTTTTTTGGGCATTTGCTTGTCAATTTCACTCACATTTTTCCTCAGTTTCTTCCATTTTTCTTTTTCTGTTCATTTTCTAGCAGATTTCAGTTCTTTACGTTACTTTCTTTCACTTTCTTGAATCTTCTTATGTTGATTTTGCTGCTTTTTTTTTTTTTTTTGGTTTTGAAGATTAGTTTGTTTTTGGTACGTATAGGTTTGTCGAGTCCAAGATTCTGATTTCTCTGCTGAAGTCTTTCACTCGCCTGAGACTTTCAAGAAGGATTATATGGATATGGAGAGTAAATTCAAGATCTTTATGTACCCACAAACAGACAATGATATTGTTTGTGATAAACAAAGGAGGCTTTATGGCAAGCATGCAAGTGAAGGCTACTTCTTCCAGAATCTTGATCAGAGTCAGTTCTTGACCACGGATCCCGAAAAGGCTCATCTTTTTTTAGTTCCTGTTCATTGTCATAAGTTGCATGCCGAGGTATCACTTTAATCATATGTCCTGTGCTAGTTTCTTTACACAGATTCTTATCAGTGATATTTTATATGGAATGATTGATTCTCTTATGCAAGCAGTTAAGCAGATGTTGCATTGATAATTTTTCATATTCAAGACTCAATAGCTGAATAAAGGGTTCCGAAAAGGCTCGTCTTTTATTGATAATAATTCCTTGGCATTTAAGTTACTGTAGGGTTTGTTTTAGTTCTATGATTCTTTTTCCATAAAATATGTTTCATAGTCAATACGCTTGTACGCATACTTATGCAAGTGATTTTAGCGGATTGCTTTCTTATTTGAGGTTAAGGAAACCTGTCATTAATGTGAGAGGACACTTCAAATCTGATTGCTTCTGAATTCTGATGCTTAGGCTGTTTGTTATATGCAGAGAAGATCGTCTGAAGAAACGGCTGTGGCTGTCCAGAATTTTGTCAATAGCTTGATTTCCAAATACCCTTATTGGAACCGAACTTTAGGTGCTGATCACTTCTTCGTAATCTGTCATGACCGTAGTACGAATGGTACTCAACGAATTTCGCATCTTGTAAGGAACTCAATACGAGTTGTATGTTCTCCAAGTTATAATGTTCAGTATGTTCCACACAAGGACATTTCCCTTCCACAAATTCAGCAGCCGTTTACTCTTCCCCCTTCTGGAAATAATGTAACGAACAGGTGAGTTTTAGTACCCTGCTGAATGTTTAATATGTCGAAAATTATGGTTTTCTGTGTCATGTTAGTGAAAACTGTGACATTTTGCAGGACTGCACTAGCTTTTTGGGCAGGTCGTCTCAATTCTCATATAAGAGATGTGCTGATCCAAGCTTGGCAGAATGACACAGAACTTGACATACAGAAAACCCGAATGAAGCTTTGGAGAATTAGAGGACATAAAGTATACCAAGAAAATTTTTACAGGTATAAGTTTTGTATCTGTCCTGGAGGACGTCAGGTCCATGGTACTCCTCGTATAGCAGAAGCAATTCATTACGGATGTGTTCCTGGTGATATATCATTCCTTTTTCCTTCATCTGTTCTTTGGATTGTATTTTCTGTGGTATTATATCGTGAAGCTTCATTTTGAAGTTGTTTGTCTAAGCAGTTTGTGTACCGTCCTGCAGTAATCTTGGCTGACCACTACATTTTGCCATTCATTGACATTCTTGACTGGAGGAAATTTTCTGTGTTACTGAAGGAGAATGATGTCTATCAGCTTAAGGAAATCCTCAAGGACATACCAGACTCTAAATATAGATTCTTTCAGGACAACACAGTCAAGGTAACATAAAATGTTCTTCCCAAAATCAGTGGACCTCTCTAGTTCACTCGTTATTTAAATTCATTCTGTAAATTACTCCTGCAAAACTTAAAACTGGATCCCTTTATGCTGTTTCTGTAGATATATATGAATTCTGTGATTATGAACTGTGTTCCATTTCTGTTATTCCACGCTCTCATGAATCAGGTCCAGAAGCACTTCCAATGGAATTCACCTCCTGTCAGCTTTGATGCATTTCATATGGTAATGTATGACCTATGGCTGCGCCGGCATGTTGTCAAATACTGACCAGGTGCACTGTTCAACATCCCTCCTCCAACACCGGGCAGAAAGATGAACATTGGCTCCTTGCTCCCTTTATTCATTTCAATTTGCCAACATTGTTTTGACTTGTGAGCCTAAGAAACATTCTGTGTACCACTACAGATTGCCCTTTTAAACTCTAAATATGCCTGCCATAGTGGCTGCAGTGTAAAGTTCACAGCAATGTTGCAAAGAAATAATTACTTGTTTAATTACGAAGCCAGTTACTACACATGTTTTCAAATAGGTGCAAGAATCAGATGACCTAATCATGCTACATTTCTAATTTCTTTTGATTCCTTGTTCCTTCATGGAAGAACCGCTGCAAAGTGGGGAACCCTTTTCCATACAAGTTCTGGTTTGCTTCTCATTTTCCATCCAACGCTGATGTTTACATATCTTATATTCTGAAATTGGATCCTAGCCGGTTTTACAGCAGCCCTGTAAACAATATCGGTTCATGGGCAAGATGAGAAGAAAAAAGAAGTTACGAGAGAAGGAAACGTAAAACGAGCATGAAAAGCAAAAAAACAGAGTATCACTCTTTCTTTGATAGTTAGGTACATATATATATATATATGTTACTGTAAGGATTCTTAAAGTATCTAGAAAATTCTCAGATTCTAACACTCCTCCTTGAGAATTTTCTTGGAGACTCCAAGCCTTGACCTTAGCTTTTCAAATCTGGCTTTGAAAAGTGTCTTAGTTAGTATATCAACAATCTGATTTTCGGAGAAACAATGAATCGGATTGACTTCACCATTCTTCTCTCGCTTCTATGATTGCATTAAACTTCACATTTATATGTTTGGTTCTTCCATGTTACACGTGATTCTTTGCAATACCTATAGCTGACTTGTTATCAACCCAAATTACGGTAGCATCATCTGGACTTTGCCCTAAATCTATCAACGACTTTCTTAACCAAATTGCTTGGTTTGCAGTACTGCTGCTGCAAAAATATACTTAGCTTCGCTTAGGATTGAGCCACCACCTCTTGCTTTCTTGAATTCCATGAAAATACTCCACTTCCAAATGAGAAAGCATAACCGAAAGTGCTCTTGGAATCATCTATACTTCCTGCCCAATCACTATCTATATATCCTTTGAGCTTTTTACTTTCTTCTTTAACAAACCACAAACCATAATCAAAAGTACCTCCGATATATCTTAAAACTCTCTTAGCTGCACCAAGATGAATTTGACTAGGTGAGTGCATAAATCTAGAGAGCAAGCTTGCGAGAGAACATTAAATCGGCCTTGTAGCGAGATAAGTACAGCAAACTACCGATTAGGCTTCGTAAACGAAGCATCCGTTTTGCTGGCAACATCATCCTTTGATAATTTCTCATTCACAATCAATGAAGTTGCCACTCGGTTTGGATCTTTCCATATGAAACTTCCTCAAAACTTCCAGAGCATACTTTTGTTGTGAGATGAAGATTCCAAGCATCACTTTGGTGAATTTCCATGCCCAAAAAATACTTCATCTCACCCAAATTGGACATTTCACAAACACCCTCCATCTGCGAGCATGAATTTCTTTAAGATTATAGAATTATAACTTGTAACCAACGAGTCATCTACATACAAAGAGACATTAAGCTGAATTTCATCTTGAACCTTCAACACATATAAAGTAACTTCACTTTCACTTCTTTTGAATCCTTGTTGCAGCAAATAAGCATTAATTCTACTGTACGAAGCTCTTAATGCTTGTTTTAAGCCATAGAGAGCTTTGTGGAGCTTGTAAAATTTGTCTTCACTTCCTGAAATCTTAAATCCTTCTGGTTGCTGAACATAAATATCATCTTCAACCACACCATTTAGAAAAAGCCGACTTCACATCGAGATGATGAATTTTCCATCCCATTTTTGCTGATAAAACCATTAGAAGCCCGATAGTATCATGCCTAGCCACCGGAGCAAAGGTGTCTGAAAAATCAACATCATGCTCTTGAAAATACCCTTTTATAACCAATCTAGCCTTAAGTTTGTTTACGGAACCATCTCGGATTATATTTGGTTCCGAAAACCCACTTAACACCAATGATCTTCCGATTCTTAGGCTTTTCTACTAGCTCCCAAGTTCTATTCTTAGTTATCATTTTTAGCTCCTCCTCCATTACAACTCTCCATCCATCTTCTTTAATAGCTTCATCGTAACAAGTAGGTTCATGTAATGCTACATCACATCTCTCATAGATTTCAACAAGTGACCTTGTTCCTTTTACTAGAACATCATCAAAGTTATCAACCCCAATTTCATCTTCTACTTCTTCTTGAACTTGGGGTATGGTTACCCTAATTTAATCAACATCTATGGCTTCTATTTTATTTTTCTCCTAGTTCCATGTTGCTTGCTTCATCAACTTTGATGTCCCTCGCTAATGATTAATTTCTTAGTTTTCAAATTGAAAACTCTATAGCCCTTAGAGTAGAGCTATATCCATAGAAGATTCCTATCTCGGCTTTGTAGTCCAGCTTGTCTCTTTTCACATCCGGCACATGAGCATAACACAAACTCCCAAACACTTTGAGGTGTTCCACAGTCTGGTTTAACTCCATACCAAGCTTCAAATGGAGTTTTGTCTTTCACAACCTTGGTTGGAAGTCCGTTCAATAAATATATAGTCGTGTTAACGGTTTCTACCCAAAAACACTTGGGCATCTTTTTCTTAAATAGCAGACACCTTGCCATCTCCATAACGAGTTCTATTCTTTCTCTCACTCACTCCATTTTGTTGAGGAGAGTAAGTGACGATAAGTCGATGTTCAATTCCAGCTTCAACACAAAACTTGTAAAATTTAGCCGATGCATATTCGGTTCCATTATCCGATCTTATCACCTTGATGCTGCAATTTGCTTGATTTTCCACCAAAGCCTTGAAATTCCGAAACACACCGGCCACTTCGACTTTTGCTTCATAAAGTAAACCCAACACATCCTTGTATAATCATCTATGAACAAGATGAAGTACTCGCTTCCATTCGAAAGGGTGTCTTCATTGGTCCACACACATCGGTATGGATCAATTGCAACCTTTTAGAAGCTCTATAGGCCTTGTTAATAGGAAATGGCAATCCGCTTTGCTTCCCAAATTGACGGACTAGACATACATTTTGTTCATCACTAATGACTGGTATGCCATGATCTAAATCTTTCGATGCAAGTGTTTGAGTGCGGCATAATGAAAATAACCAAACCTCTTGTGCCATAACATAGACTCATCAACAACGAGTGGTATAGGCATGCAAATCAATCTCTTTCCACTTAATTGGAAAGCTTTTATCTCTCATTTTTATAGTCATCAACTCACAACCGGCATTATCAACAATGACGCAGCACTTATTTTGAAAATGCGAGAGAATAATTCTTCTCTAGCATTTGACCCACACTTAACGGACTTTGGCAAATATCGGGTACAAATAATACATCCGAGATATAGTTGATACTTGTTGAAGTCTCAACAAGCAACAATTCCCTTGCCTTTGACATCAACTATGTCTCCATTTTGAATCTTCACTTTGGACTTGTATGATTGATCCGACTCCATGAAATTGCTCAATTCGGGAGTTATATGGTTTGTACGACCACCGTCAATAAGCCAAGTTTACGTATAGTTGTTTGTTGCATGACTCGTAGCTACAAACAACTCGCTCATGTTGCTACATCATTTCAGCCATTTGTGCTTGTTGTCCCTGCTACCCTTGTTGATCTTTTTTATTCTTGCATACCTTCTCTACATGGCCAAATTGCTTGCACGATCTGCATTGCACACCGGGCCTAAACCAACAATAATTCTCCGAATGACTCTTCCTCTTGCAATGAGGACATGGTGGATACCTCTTTTTGCCACCACTTCTACTTCCTTGGCCCTCATTCTTCTCCTTCTCTTTGTTCTCACCTAACTCGCTTTTCTCTCCCCTATGAGGAGCTTTTCCTTGTTGCTTTGCAAGAAAAGCCTTTTCACTATTGTCTTCTTCTCTCATTGATCTTCTTTGTTCTTGAGCTTGAAAAGCATGAAAAGCTCGCCAAGGAAATCTTGGTTAAATCCTTTGAGTCTTCAAGAGAAGAGATCTTGGACTCAAATCTTTCGAGCAAGCTTACGAGAACTTTCTCTACAACCCTTTGGTATGTTAAATCTTCACCAAGAAGCTTGATTTTGTTAACAACTTCCATGAGCCTATCTACATATTCTTTGATGGACTCATTATCTTTCATCCTCAAGACTTCAAATTCCCTCTTCAAATTCAGAATCTGCATTTGCCTTGTTCTATCACTCCCCATATACATCTTCTTGAGCTTGTCCCAAGCCTCTTTTGGTGTTTCAAAAGCCATAATCCTTGTGAAAATTGATTCGACACGAGCACCATGAATGTAAGATAAAGCTTTTGGAGCTTTGGCTTCTTCTTCTTCATGAGCACCGATTTGATTAAGAGTAGGATTGTTTCCCAAAGGAGGTATTTGTTTTTTATTTTCAACCCATTGCCACAAACCAAGACCTCTCAAGTGAGCTTTCATTGTGATAGCCCAAACTTGATAGTTGTCACCATTGAAAACTAGGGGTGAAAGAGGCATTGTGTTGCTTGGAAGCCATGAGAGTTTAAGGTTTGAGTTTTTTAAGGTTTTTTGGAGAGGAATCCTTGCTCGGTGTTCTCTCTTAGTCACTCACAGGACCTTTAAGATCTTTATAAGCTCGATACCATGTAAATAATATCGGTTCTTGGGCAAGATGAGAAGAAAAAAGAAGTTATAGAGAAGGAAACGTAAAACGCAGTATGAAAAACAAAAAAAACAGAGTATCACTCTTTCTTTGATATTCTAGTATATATATATATATATATATATATATATATATATATATTGTTGTGGCACATATATTACTGTAGCAATACTAACTCAGTTTACAAAAGTATTTCAAAAACAAAATCCCACAAAATAAGGAGCTTCACTCCTTTTAAACTAACTAATGATTATAAAAGGATTCTGAAAGTATCTAGAAAATTCTCAAATTCTAACAAGTCCCTCGATGCCTTTTTGCAAACTATGCAGTAAATCCTTTCCCTGCTCGTCCTCGTTGTAATCTGCAAGTAATGTCTAAACTTCTTGAGGTTCAATTCTGTCTTGCGTTGTAAGATCAAACCAACTCACACCCAAATTCAACATCGTCCTCTCAGATTCAAGTAATGGTTTTGGATGCACGAAAATAAGGCAGAACTAGCCAATCCTCATCCTTAACAGTCTATTTGTCCGCATATCTCTTTTTCTTCAATTCTGATAAATCAAATCCTGATTAGCTCAATGTTCTAGAGGACTGCTATGTGTGGTGCCTGTCGCGACAGCCCCATCTTGACCCTCCATTGACCACATTTGCTGCCTCTTGCATCAGCCACTACTACTATTAGCAGTAACTCTAGTTAACTGCATTGTAGATTGTAGCTGACTAAGTACTAACGACTATCCAGCAAATGACCCAACCCAACTGCCATTTTTTCCCGCTCTCCGTCTCGCAATATATAGAGCAACCGCCTTCAATTTTGGCAAGAGACCACTTTCTCTCTTCAATTTTCGCGAGAAAAACAGAAAGAAAGAGCAGAAAAGAAAAGAAACCGTCCCAGAAAAAAGAAATCATGGACAGAAGGAGAAAGACAAGAAGGAAATCACAAAATTGGAAGAGTCCAATACTTCTCGCTATAGTAGCCGTTGTGATCGTTTGCTGTTGGAAACGAATAAGAGGAACTTATAGGGTACAAGCTCGCACTTTGTTGGTGAAAATTTGAAGCACTCTTTGGAATTTTCAGTTCCGTTTTCCCTCACTTCCTTGCATGCATTCTTCTTTGCCGTTCTCTTTCCAAGCGTACCTTGCATGTTGAGACCTGCAACACTATCTCTCATTTTCTTGTTCCTTTGATTTTGATGCACTTTTGGGTTTTCAAGGTCAATTTCAGATCTCTTAGGACTACTAAGAATAGCCAAATTTCTTTCACTTTCCGCATTCTCTCCCTTTTTCTTTATTCTGTTCATTTAGGTGCAATTTTTGGGTTTTGAAGGATATTTGGATTCACTTTTTACTACTTTCTTCCATTTGTTTTTGATATAGAACTCTCGTCCACACAAAGATTCTCATTATTCCGCTGAAGTCTTTCACTCACCAAATGTTTTCAAGAAAGACTACATGGATATGGAAAAAAACTTCAAGATCTTTGTGTACCCATATACAGACAAGGCTTTTGCTGATGATAAACGAAGGAAGCTTAGTGGCAAGTATGGGAGTGAAGGGTACTTCTTTGAGAGTCTTCAACAGAGTCACTTCTTGACCACAGATCCTGATAAGGCTCCTCTTTTCTTTGTTCCTATTTCTTGTCATAAGCTGCGTAGAGAGGTATATATAACTTTGATGTGGTTTTTTTTTCTTTTTTAATTCAAGTGCTAGTTATAGGAGTGACTTTGAGTATCTTTTAGATATGCAATGGATAACACAAATACATAGTTTCGATGAATTGACACTGCAAGATTTCAACTAGAATGAAATCTTTACTTCGAAGACACTTCAAGACACCAAATTGTATGTTGACAAGCTTCTGATGTATTTGTACTAAGCTTCTGATGCTGGTATTGTTATATGCAGGGAAGATCCTACGAAGATATAGCTATTGCTTTTCAGGATTATGTCAAGAGCTTGATTGCAAAGAACCCTTACTGGAATAGAACTAGGAGCCGATCATTTCTTCGTAACCTGTCATGACATTTGTGTGACTGTTACTGAACAAATACCACTTCTAACGAAGAACTTAATTCGAGTTGTCTGTTCTCCAAGTTATAATGTGCAATATGTTCCACGCAAGGATGTTCCTCTCCCGCAAATTATACAGCCATTTGCTCTTCCTGCTGGTGGAAATAACCTGAAGAACAGGTAGCTTTAAGCAATCTGCTGAATATTTGTTTTTGTCATATAATTAATGAAGTTCATTTCAATTTTTCTTCCTTTTTTTGCTTTTGACCATGAAAATTAACTGGCATGCATATTTTTCAGGACTTTACTAGCTTTTTGGGCAGGTCGCTGCAGTTCTGATATAAGAGATAAAATGATCCAAGCTTGGCAGAATGACACAGAACTCGATATCCAGAATGAGCAAATAGACATTCAAAATATAAGAGGACATATAGCATACCAAGAGAAGTTACAGGTGTAAGTTTTGCATCTGCCCTGGAGCACTTCATGTCCACATTGCTCGTATAGCAGAAGCGATTCATTACGGATGAGTTCCTGGTGAGATTTCATTTCTTCTTTTACCTCATATCTGGACTGGATTTACAAGCAGTTTTTTGCGGCTTTCTGCAGTTATCTTGTCTGACTACAGTGTTTTGCCATTCAATGACATTCTTGACTGGAGGAACTTCTCTGTTATTCTCAAGGAGAAAGATGTCCATCGACTTAAGAAAATCCTCAAGCGCATACCAGATCAGGAGTATAGAATCCTGCAGGATAACACAGTTAAGGTACACACAAAATTTTCCTGTGCACTTGCTTTTGAAATTTCATTCCTCTCTGTTTGTTTCCCAAGATATGTACTGAACATTTGATTATGAACTATTTCATTTCTTTTATTCCATGTTCTCATGAACCAGGTCCAGCAGCACTTCCAGTGGAATTCACCTCCAGTCAAACTAGATGCATTTCATCCGGTACTCTATGAACTGTGGCTGTGCCGCCATGTTGTCAAGTATGAACGGGTTGACACAGGAATGAACAGGTTCATACACTCCACCAAGTACCAGCCACAAAAATGAACAGTTGCCTTTTTTTAGTTTATCTGCTCCCTTTTTTCATTTCAATTTTGCCAAATTGTTGTGAGCTTAAGAAATATGTAGTGTACCACAACAATTTCCAGTGCACTTGTTTTTGTATACTTCGACAAAAAGTAGGCCTGCTATATAGTAGCTAACAGTGTAAAGGTCCATAGAAAAGGTGCAAAGGTCATTTACTTGTATGCAAACCAGTTGCTTTTGGTGAATGCACAACTTTTGCATCATTTTTCCATCTAATGCCAAAGTGCCCATGTTTACAGATACTGCCTCTGATAATGTGATTCAAATAGGTGCAAGAATCTGACGATCTTTTCTAATTTCCTTCGGTTCCTTGTTCCTCTCCCAAAATCTTGGTTTGCTTTTCATTTCCCATCCATTGCAGATGATTACTGATCCTATATTCTGAAATTGGATCCTAGCAGATTTGACAACCTTATTTGCAAATTATGCAGTAAGAACTTCCACTGCTAATTCTTAATGCCTGACCACGTGCCGTTCTTGAGAAAATCTGTTCTTGAGGTGCAATTCTGTCTTGCGTTGTACATAAATTTTCCAACAGGATCATATAAGACCAAAACCAATGCCTATCTAGTCATAAGGAAGATCATATCAGAGACCCCTCCAATTGCAAGCATCAATCTATAACACCTCGATTACGATTTACACAGAAATAAGGTTTCGGAAAACAGCAGATTAAAGGCACATTAGACTGTTCTGCTGATGCTCTCTCTCCCTCAAAAATTTCATTTCAAATCCCAGACATTCTGCCATCCTGCATATTGCCTCAGATTGTGGATGGGACTTGTCCCCTGATGAAAACCCATGTAAAGACAAGGAACCGTCAATGCCCCCAACATCCGCCCAGCTAAATCCTACTTCCTTCCTCACTCCCTTCACTCTCATCCCTTTTCTTAATTTTGCAACCATTTCCCATCGTCCAGTCACAGCATACAAGTTGGACATCAACACATAAGAGCCTGATTCTGTAGGATCCATCTCCATCAAAGTATCAGCTACCCTCTCTCCCATGTCCACATTCCCTTGCATCCTACACGCTCCTAGCAAGCTTTGCAACACAGACAATCCAGGACCACCTGGAATATGATTCACCAATCGCTCTGCTTCCTTGAGTCGCCCTGCACGACCCAGCATATCCACCATACAAGAGTAATGCTCCGCTGATGGTTCTACTTTATAGTCTTTAACCATTGAGCCAAAGACATGACAGCCCATATCAACCATTCCCTTTCTCCCACAGGCTGTTAATATAGAAAGAAAGGTGATTGAGTCAGGTCTCACCTCAAGCCTCCTCATCTCCTCAAACCAATTCATGACTGATTCATAGTCCCCGTGCCTTGCATAGGCAGAGATGATTGCTGTCCAGGCAAATTGGCTTCTCTGAGGTGTCTCTGAAAAAACTTTTTGAGACTCGCAAATGCTCCCACGCTTTGCGTACATGTCAAGGAGAGCACTAGAAACAATGGGGTCAGTGTTGAGTCCAAGTTTTATTATTTGAGAGTGGCACCTTTGACCATACTTTAGAGATACATCCTCGGCAGCACCAATTGCATTCAAGACGCTACCAAATGAGTATTGGTTTGGCTTGATTTCCACAAGTGCTGAGAAAAATGCCCTGATAGCTTCTTGACACAACCCATTTTGTGCAAACCCAGAAATTAAAGCATTCCATGCTATGATATCCTGGTACTTGAGCTCTTGAAAAACCTTAACTGAGTCTTGCATGGACTTGAACTTAGCATACATGGTGATGAGGCTATTACAAACATTGGGTTCTGATGAAAAGCCAGTCTTAATGCAAAACCCATGAACCATCTTTCCTTGCACAACAAGCTCCCTGATCGTGATAGCATGGATTAAGCCAATAAACGTTACATCATTAGGATAAACACCATCTAATCTCATCTCATTAAAGACAGATACCGCTTCTGCTTCATCACTAGATATCATCGTAGTCCATGAGACTACATTGCGTTCATTCATATTTTGGAAGACTAATCTAGCATCTTCCATAACTTGGCATTTAAAATATGTTGACATCAGAACATTCGCCACGGAAACATGCTTCTCGTGTCTTGTTTTTATAATCAAACCATGTATCTGTCTGGCAAGCTCCAAGTTCCTTTCATGTCCACAAGCTGAAACTGCACTAGTAAATGAGATGTGATCAAGCTCCATTCCCCCCTAAACATTTCAAGGAACATTAAAATGGCTTCAAATCCATAAATTGCTTCCTGGGTATACCCTGAAATCATTGCATTCCAAGAAACGAGATCCCTAGTTTTCATTTCCTCAAACACTCTTCTAGCCTCTGCTAAATGTCCCCATCTCGAGTACATACTTATGAGCGCATTCCCAACAAAAACTTCACAACCGAACCCAATCTTTACAATACAAGAATGCAACTGTAACCCAAAGAGAAAATAGGCTTCCACATGCCTCCAACAAAAAGAAAGTGATGTAGTATAAGTAACAGCATCGAAACCAACCCCACTTGAATGCATTGTACAAGCAAAACCAAACGCATCTTCACTTTTTTGGAAGCCCGAAAGCACCGTATTCCAAGAAACAATATCAGGATGAGTCAAATCCTCAAAAATACATAAAGCTTTAGAAAACTGTCCATATTTGCAGTACATATTCATTAGAGAATTAGAGACCGTAATGAAGGAAGCAAACCCACGTTTAATGGAAAACCCGTGGATTTGGGAGACGAGTAGTGGGTCTCCACGGCAAGCTTTGAGGGCGTGGGCGAGATTAAATTCATCGAACTTGTTCCTAAAACCCAACCCACGGTGTTTCTTGACGATTTCAAACGAAAGGTTTCGGTGAGGAGTTTTGTCAAGCAAGTGGTTTGCATGGCTACTTTCGTCATTAGCACAGGTTCGGAAACTACGTTTTGAGGTAGGTTTGGGTCTTATTCCGTGGAGGGTTTTGGAAAATTGTTGGCGAAAAATCATTTCAAACAGACACCCTTTTGACATTGGCGTGGCTCAAATACTCCTCTTATTTTCATCAAAATTTCAATCATTTTCTTTCATTTATCAAAACTAACATAATTAATAATGTGACAATTGCACTTTTCATAATTGAAATCATACTACTTATTATCTTTCTTTCTTTCAAATTTTGATGAGATAAATTTATTAATTTTGATATAATTGAAGTATAAATATTTGGCTAAGATTTATTTTTATTTTGTTTTTAGTACTTTAGAAAGTCAATTGAAATATAAAAGATATCATATCATTAATTATGTTAATTTAATAGATAGTAATAAAAAAATTAATTAATAGATAGTAATAAAAAAATTAAAACTTTGATGAAAATTTAAAAAATATAAAAATAAAAATAATTGGTACAAAACAAAATATAAGAAGAGGAATTGAAAAACCATTTAAATCTTTCGAGGACAAATTAAAATTTACCCTAATTTATTTTATTAGCTAACCTAAAGGGATAATCCAATGGACTTTTAAGCAGACCACATGTTAGCATCTATGAGTGAAAGATTTAGAGAACTGATTGGTAAAGAATTTATCAATTTTACAACCTTAAACCAAACTAACAAACTCCCATTACAAAGATTGGATGGAATGATTTCATAAAAATCCCAAAACCCTTAGGTGTTGTTTGATAATCGAAATAAAATGATGAAAATGAAAATACAAGAATCGGAATGAACATTAAGGAATCGAATGGTATTTGTATTCCAATACTATGTTTAGAATATGAATAAGGAATCGGAATGCAATTTAAATTTTTTAATATCCGATTTTGTATACAAATATAAATAATGATTAAAAAATAATTTTATTAAACTATAATAGTTATAAAAATAATAAAGGTGATAGTAGTGATTGTGGTGGTTCTAGTGGTGGTGGTGGTGGTGGTGGTGGTGGTGGTGGTTGTGATGATGTTAGTAATGGTGATGGTTTTGATGATGATTGCGGTGATGGTGGTGGTGGTGGTGGTGATAGTGGTTGTGCTTGTGAAGGTGGTGATGATAGCTATGAAGATAGTGATAGTAGTGGTTGTGGTTGTTGTTGTGATAATAACGGTGGTGGTCATGGTTGTTGTAATAGCGGTGGTGGTGGTGATAATGACAAAAGTAATTAATAGATAATAAATAAATAAAATATATTATTATTTTATAAAAAAAAATTCATTCACATTCTTTGTTTTTTATTCCATCTTATGTGGGAATGAAGTTGTATGTAAATTTTCATTCCCATTTCCACTCTTCATTCTCATTCCCACTTCATTCTTTTTAACCAAACAGCTACAATGTTGAAATAAAACTTTCATTCTCATCTCATCACTCTATTCTTGATTACCAAACAACACCTTAAGTGCAAAAAGCTGACATTTCACAAAATGCATAGAGGGTTGGACCAAAAAATTGAAAATATAAAAGGGACAGTGAATTTTTGCATTTTTACAGTTTCTAGACCTCCAATTGGAGAAATGGATAATCCATCTATATATATCAAAACACCCACCTCAGAAACGGGAACAAAAGACATTAACCTGGTATTTACTTCCTAAAAACTTCACAAAGACATGCAGGCCTTACCACAATATATTTCCATTCAATTAGTTATATTCTTACAGTAAGAGAAGATGGGGAAAAATACGCAGAAAAGAGTATTGACATTATGCATTGCACGGGAAGTATCAAGAGAACGCCCAGAAACTTGCAAATATAAGTAAAAGTCTTGTCTATAAACAAAAAACCCATCTCTGGATATCTGATGTTAGTATAAACCAGAATTGCATCTTCATCCCTGTAAACAAAACCGGATGCTCTTAGAAGGGGTGTTAACAACCAAGGCAGAAAGCATGATCTCAGGTCGCAGGCCACTCAGTCCCTGTACTGGAATCCTCAATGTCAACCTGTAAGTTGGTACTGTGAACTTGGAGAAGTAACGACTAAGATTTACAACTTTTAACCCAGCTGAAGTATAGAGTTAGTCTTCAATATGCTTGATGCCAATTCACTAAAAAACCACTACCTGATCATCAAAATGCTCGGGGATTTCAAATTCTGAACCTGAAACATCACAAAGCTCGTCCAACGTGTTCTCGAAGTCCTGGTACATGTCACACGTTGCAACAATAAAGAGTGTTTATGTAAGGCAACGCAAGATGTGATCTGCCAGATCACTCGCTACTAAGCACCTTCCCTTCTATTATGAATTGGTCATACTTACAAGCATACAAACTTACTGCATAACCAGTGAGTGTTTAAGCAAAACAATATATCCACTTCATTTATTTACTTTCTGAAATTATGCAAGTGTAAAACCCTCATCTTATTAGTTTATACTCTTTATATTTCCGAAATAGGGACAGAACCCAAAGGTTGCACTTTCCTTGAGTAAAACAATTCACTAGGTCTAGATGAATAGGGAACCTCAAAGTAATCAGCACAGGAAAGCCTATGACCAGTATATATATATATTTGAACAATTTTCAGAACAGGTATCAGAAAAACCAAAGCTGCTAGTACACTCAAGCAATAGGGGAACTCGATCGAAAACACCAATTAACAAATAAGAACTTGACAAAAATACAACGAGAATCATGTATTCAGCCTGTCCTAGTTTATAGTCCATTTATGATCATTTATGTTTTTGAGTGAAGTCAAACCAATACAGCAAAATATGTTATTTCACCAGCTTTACCTTACCATCCAATGGTGTGGGTTTTTTTTATGTAACATTAATCATGTGCAGGGCCACAAAGGGAAATCAATGATAAAACTTTTAATGTTTTGACAGACAACAAACATTTTGGGAAATCCTGCTGGACAGAAAAACACTGATATTTTTGGACACAGGGATGGTCATATTGAAATTTTGAGATGTATGTTTCGGCAATCTTATTACCTCATCATCAAGATTGATTGAAGAATTCTCCACATGCATAGGCAAGGGATCAGGAACAGTTTCATCAGTTTCTAGCAAATCCTGCACATAGGAATTGTGAACATGATAATCAAAACAAAAGATAAATACTAATGCAATTACTTCAATAACCAAACCAATGACGGCAACTAGAACCTCAACTCTCAAATTGGTGACTTTAATGGAATGCTATGGAATTAAAACCAAAGAGCTTCAACACTAACAACATAAAGTTTCCAATGAAAAGCAACCAGCTCATTTCCCATTTCAAGTATGTGACCTCCTAATTCCAATTGTCTGATTCAAATAGAATGACTAGACAAAGTATTACAGCTTCCTAGGACTGAGTCTTTTGGAAGGAAGAAAAAAAAGGCAGAGCAACTCCTAAAGCCAAAGGAGAGGTGAGCTATTTGCAGGTTCACAGGTGGAGTTTTGTGTTACTGGACCAATGATTTTGACATATCTAATATGGAATGTAGGATCCAGCATCAATATGCCTGCTGCTCAAATATAATGCCATACCTGTTCATTTGGCCTCAGAGAATTATCAGAATCTAATGGCAGAGGCTTACTCTCTTCTTGGCTCTCCTGATAATTGAAAAAGCCAGAGTCCATCAGAATCAAGTACAAAAGATAAAAGTTGACACAGTATTCATGGATCAGACAGTATCTTCTGATGATGGAACTATTCCCATAGATTATGACCAACTAAATAAGTGGCAGTCTAAGCAATCTAATAATGTATTGCATTTCAAATGTTGCTTCAGACAGCTGTGTCTCACAAATATAGCAATCATACCTCTTCATCAGGGTTAGCAAAAGGATTTTCTCGTTCCATCGTTGAAGGCTTAAAATCAGGAGTTACCTGCAATAGAAACAGAGTTATCACACCAAATAGGAATTTCTAGTTGGGAAAAAATAAAAAATACATATTGACTCCCAAAACAACCAATGAGGATAATCATATTATCTACTCAACAATCCGCTTTGAAAGAAATACCACAAAAGTAATGATTCATACTGGTAACAAATGCTGTTCTTAGAAGCAAATTCAGTTGGTAAAGGTACACACCGGATCATTTTGATTTAAGGAAATATGACGTCCCCCTTTGTTAAGATCTCTCAAAGTTCCCTTCAAAACAAAAGGCATGGAAAAATGTAAATTGGACCAAAAGTACAATCAGTAGCTTAAAAATTGTAATGCTTGTAAAGGGCAGGAACAGCAAGATATGACTAACTAGAATTTCTCTTGGTGCTTAGGACATGCATAGAAAACGGCAAATTCTAATCCAAGACCTAGTTATATCTGAACAAACATAAATATCCAGAAGAAGACATGTTGTGTATAGGAAACACAGATATTGACATTTATCAAGTAAGATACAAGCTCATAAGTACAGAATTACGAGTGAGTGAGCACCTGGATAAACAAAAGATAAACTTGATAGTCTACCAAAAATACAGAGGGGAATATCCAATTTGAAAATTATATATCATATAGAACACTTATGTCTCCACTGAAAAAGATGGCTCATAAACTGGACCAAAGACAATTAAGAACATATAAAACTGCTGAATCAACACTGTTAACTGTATAGGCAAATTGACAGATTTACCAATATTGTGATGCCTACCTTATTTGCCCACATAAGGCCACAAGCATTGCAAAGAGTTCTTGGACCAGCTGGTCCCCGGCGCATTGCTGGAGTATCTTTCGCACTAATGCCACAATGTTGACACTTAAGCAAACTAAAAAAAAATGCAGAAACTTGTTACCACAATAGATCATGCAACATGTAATCCTTAGGAAAATGAAACACATATTTCAAAGCATGTTTTAGGAAATGATATAAGTTTATGATAAGCTTTGACTCACGCAGATTCAGGATTAGGCATTGTGTTGCTTGGTTCCCAGTTGCCAGTATCTGTGCTGTAACAATCATTCAATGATGCAAACTGTCCTTTATTGCGATGCATCCTGGCAGAAACATCAGTTTCTACAATCAGTGTTCATTTCAGATGCTGATAGAAGTAAAGACAAGATCTGGAACTCCACATACACACACTTGCAAACATGACGACAAAATGAAAAAAAAAATATATATATATATATATATATATATAGAATAACAAAGTTCAGTTCACCAACTATGCATGGGTACGTATTGTGTCCCTTGGAACCCATTTCTTGTCCTTGGAAGATCATCATAATATGGCCCAGATAGAGGGCTCTTATTATTCATTTTGAGCATGTGGATACATTTAATGAAATCACATTCACACAGAAAAATCTCTACCTGTCCTGTGATAGAACAAATCAAAATTTTGCACCTACCTCTGAGCAACCTCTTTCCGGCAGGTATATCGAACTTTCTTTCCAAAGCATCTCTCCTTCCGCTTTTCACGGAACCTTACCAGGGAGGCAACTCTTCTTGAAAGATTCAAGCCCTGTGAGGCATCACCTGCACTCTGGAACATGTAGTTAGAAAGCATTAAAATATACAGAAAAGACAGTAAACAATATGTTCAAACAGAACAGCATGCCGGTGGCACAAGAAATACCCTGGCATTCTGCTGGAGCAGAAATTCCGAGCTTGGTGCAGTAGTGGGTGTCTCAGGCTCTCCCAAAAGAAACAACACTGCTTGCACCTGTCGTGAGCATTGCAGCAAATGAAGAAAAGATGCCCAAAGGGAAAATAGATACAGCTTAGAAACATTTCTTTATGCAGGAGCACAACAAGCACAAAGTTAAAAAGACCATGACAACAAATTCATATGGGGGTGGATTCTAACAAGTAACTTATGCCCTAGATACTTAAAAACAGACTCAACATCAACAATTGAGTTCCCGTCATAGAAGTAAGTCCCCCAGCCACTCTGACATTCTTTATTTTGATGGCAACAGCATGTAGAAAAACCAACTGAAAAGTTGGTGAAACTCTAGCAGAAGGGAGGTATTCAAAAAGAGCAAAAACAAAATCAAAGTAAAACCACAAAGGCATATAATGAAGTAAAAAAAAATAAAAAATAAAGAAGCACAAACGCAAGAAAGTAACTGTTTATTACCTCAATTCCAGTTTCTCAGCAAATAAACAGATTCACTAAATTAAAATTTAACAGCTACATTTTCATCTTTTCAATAAGCTAAATACAGACATTAAACTGAAATTCCCACTGTTCCATAAACAAAATTTTCAGGACAAAAATCAATACCGCCAGAAGAAACTATTTTTCAACTTTCCCAATTTTTTTTCCCATTTTCTCAGCGAACAAACAACCATACCCAGAAAATCCCAAATTAAAAAACTAAAACCTTTCTTCACCTAATTTCCTCACTTTCTTCCACCAAACAACAACAAAAAAAAAAAAAAAAAGCCCAAAACCCATTTCAATATAGAAAGAAAAAAAAACACATAGAACAAGTCAAACAACCAAAAAAAATCCATCTTTCGACTTGAATTAATCAACCAACACATGCATCCAAAAAAAAAAAAACCCATATAGAGGGGGAGAGAAAAAGAAAAAGTAAGCATGGCATGACTTACTTTAGAAGGACTAACAGCAGGGAAAACATAGACTTCTCCTTCAAAAGCAATAGTAAGCTCACTTGTTCTTGTTGATTCAACCACACTACGATTCCCATTACTAATAACAGCACCATTATTGTTACTATTAATTCGCCCCACTTCTTCTTCTTCTTCTACTCCTACTCCATTAATCATCTCCATCATCCCATCATCAAATCCATATCCATAATCAAAATCACTACCCTCGATCTGCATCGGTCCTCGATTATGATAATCCCTACCCTTCCTTCCTCTCTTTTGCCTCTGATGATTCACCATTTCCATTTTTTGTATCATCCCCACTAAAAATAAACCTCCTTCTCCCTCCCTCCCTCCCTATGTATGACTAGGAATCTGTAGCTATGAAATAGTAAACTCTGTGTGTGGAAGGAATTTGTGTAATTTTTTTTTTTTTCCTGAGTTGTTGTTTCCTAGAAATGACTGGTAAAATGAGCTAGCTACTGCTAGCTACTACTAGGAAGAGAGAGAAAACTAAGGACGGTTTTGTTTTCTTTGTTACTTTTTTTTTTTTTTTATTTCTTTCTTTCTTGAGGTTTTTTTATGATACAAATCAGTCTCTCAACTATCACACATGTTTCAAATTGGATGCTAGATTACAAATTATTGTGTTTTTTATCATCAAACTATTGATTGTTATAATCAAGTCCCTAAAATTGATTCTATTACAGGCATCGTTTGGTAATACGATGAAAAGTACATTCATTCCAACCGCAATTCAAAATGTGTTTGGAAATGCAAAGTTGATTTTTTCACCAAATCTTACATTGGGCTTTTGACATATAAGAAGCAATAAGAAAGTGTTTTTGAATAGATAGTTTAAAATATAATTATTGGTTTTATTTATTATCAGATATTATTATTATTCTTAACCAACACTTAGTAATTTTTTTTATTACACTCATCAAAACTCAACGAAATATTTTTCTTATTTAACTTTCTAATAATTTTTATATAAAAATTAAACCTAACCAAGATATTTTTTATATTTCGCAATAATATTTTTTACAATTGTCTACTTGAATAATGTGAATATATATGTATTTTTTTATAAAATTTAACATAGTAAAAAAATTTGACGATCAATTTTTTTTCTTTTTAATAAAGTATAGTTCTATTAAGATATTTTTTTCAATTAATGAATATTTTTAACATTAAATTTACAAGATTGATGGCCTAAATTTAAATCCTCTACTTTAAAAAGAAATGATGAAGCAAAGCTACAAAGAAGTTGTTTGCTCTTGAGAACCTAATATTGATTAAATTTAGAGCTTAATTTTGTATAGTGGGTACCAAAAAAATTTAATAGAATTTGTGTTTTTCTTTTTTCTTTTTTTTTTGGATTCTATTAGGGGATTTGGTTGTTAGGCTAGTGATAGATAGAAAAATTGCTAGAATTTGGGTTTTGGGAACTGATTTAAAATCCATAACATTTGTGAGGACTGAGTTGTAATATTCCTTTTTCGTAAGTTTTTCTCTATTTGTCAAGAGAGCATACAGATAAGATCAGGGCCGTCCAAAGGAGGGCCCGGGTGATAGAAGAATCGCGTAAGGAAGAGGACGTGTGTCACGTGATTGGTCTAGAGCCATATCCACGTTGCATCACCGTTCATATTGGATCCGATGGTCAGTGTATTTAGCTACAGGCATGAATAACCCAAAAATCTTTGGACACGAATTTTTAGATATAATTAATTTACGTCAAGCAAGTTTAATTAAAATATACTTATTTAAATATTAGTTTTGTCAGCTCAAGAGACAAAATGAATATGCTCTTTACCTTATTATTCAAAATTCGAATGTTATAAGAAAATTATTTTCTTGTAAACAAAGATGACTTGAAACTTGATGAAATCAAGGAGTAAATTAAAGTTTGATATCAAAATAGCGTGAACTGGTAACAAATGCAAAAGTAAATTTGCTCTTGAAATATAATAATATTCAAGGTAAAAAGCTTGTAATCCTTTCGATCTCCTTTAATAAACCTAATATTGTAGCTAAGTGTTTTTGTGGTTCATTTTTAGGGTTTAATATCTCTTGAAACTCTTTTTCATTTTTCGACGCACTATTTCATTCCATTGCCTGCAATTTCTTTTCCTGCCATTGATCCAATGATTTTTCTTTATCGATCCTTCCCTTCCTTACCGAAGTTGAGGATTTAAGACTTGAGATTTGAATTCTCTTTTCCCTTTCTTTTCCTCCATTAGCTTTAATCGTGCTCTATGAAGAGCAGCCAGCTAGTAATTTTTTTTTTGTTTGTTTTCAATCTTTCGTTTCGTCCTTTCTGGACTAGAGCTTCCTGCACTCTCATTCTACTCATTTTCAATTCTTCAAGGGCATGCCCTCTTTTTTTGGCAAATCCAACAAAGCTTTTTTTCTTTTTTTCCCAAGCAGGATCCATCTGTATAATTAGAAAGTTCATGAGAAAGAGAATCAACTATTATGTTTGTATGTGAAAGTTCATGAGAAAGAGAATCAACTATTATCTATATAGACGGCACCAAAGGATTTGATGCTTTTACAAGCATCATCTATTTTTCGTTGAAAAATCTCTACACCATTTTTCAATTTAAATGGCATTACTAGTCATTTATACATTCCCTGTGGAGCATTAAAAGTAGTTAGTTAAGGGAATAAACTTTTCTTCTATTTTCACTTGCTAATATCCACTTTTCAAATCAAACTTTGAAAAAATAGATGGTCCCCTTGAACCTAATCTATAAATTATATCTCTAGCAATAGGAATCTTATCACCATCATCTTTTGTTTCTTTATTAAGCTAACGATAGTCTATAACTATTCTTGTCTTTCCACTTACGTGCTTTGCATGGTTTATTACCATAAAAGTTGGATTAGGATTAGATTGAGGGCTAAAACTATTTTTAATTGATGTAATGCCCGGTATATGTTAAAACTGAAATTTAATAAATTTAAAAGTATAAAAAAATATATGAGAAATATTTTATGAGCATGAAATGATCTTAGAAGGGTGGTAGAATATTTAGAATGATTAAAATAGTTTTCCATGCTTATTGAATATTTTATGGCCTTGCTATTGCATGTATAGTGACTTTTATGAGAAACAATTGATTTAAGCATGTTATATGTGTGCATGAAAAATGTTTTGTTTGCCTAAAATATTTGCTAGAGGGGTGTTAGATTATTTTATGTTGCTAGATGAATTTTCCGATATTCTGTGAATATTTTATTTGTATTTTATTGTGCATGAATAGTAATTTTATGGTAAATTAATTAGTTTAGGTGCTTTAAAGATATAAGAAAATTATCTCAAGGTTATAGAAAAATCATTTGAGACCTATACGAATATTTAAAAAATTTAGATGAATTTTTCTACACATAGAAATATTTTCTATAGGAAATAGTGTAATTTTTACAATAAATAATTCATTTGGAGGCCTAAATAAAGGCATAAAAATTATGTGATCGATGATTAAATTCTTTTAAGAAGTGTTTGAATTTATTATAAACATAATTTGGATTTTGGAAAGGTACGAGATGCAATTTTAGACCGAGGGACTTATTTGTATAAAATTAGAGACTCAATTGCATAAAATCAAAAGCTTAAACTTTCAATTTAAATTAGATAGAAATTTTAAGAGTCAAAAAGTTGTTATAAAAACTTGAAATGAATAGTTTAAGGTGGTCAATTGAATAAAAGGAGGACTTTTGAAAGATTAGTCTACGGAAAGCTTTGGCAATTTGGAGGACTATAATTAATCATCTTCCTTCCATCTTTTTTATTGAGAGCATTAATTAAGCTTGACTTCCAGTTAAATTAGTAGCCCTAATTAAGCTAGATGGAAGGTTTAAATTAAAAGAAAGATAAATGGCTAAACATTTAGCCAATAAAAGGAAGGGGCTAAAAGTACAATCAAGGGCCAAGAATTATCCAAATTAAGGGTAGAGATTAAGTTAGCAAGTCTACCTAATTTTCTTATAAACACAAGTGCTAGAAAATGGAAAATAAAAGAAAATTAGAGAAATACAAACTAAACTCTTGTAAAATTTTCACTCAAAATTTACCCAAAGTATTTCTAACTAATTTTAAGCACTCCAAATCAGTAGATTAAACACCAATTTTAAGTTGGAAGCTAGAAATTTTGAAGGAGGAATTTAGAGAAAATTATCCGAATTTAAAAAGGAAAAGAGGAAGGAAGAAATTTTCAAACAACCCAACTTTCTAAAGATAAATTGGAGCTTATTTGAGTAAGTTAACTTCACATACATCACAAGAAAGTTTAATTTCAAGTCAATTTTATGTTTGATGTTTCAATTTAGGTTTAATTGCATAAATTGTAAAAAATTAGGGTTAGGGTTCTTAGTTAGGAAAAATTAGGGAAAATGGTCCTAACCTAAAACTTCATGAAATTGAAGTTAAATTAGGCTAATTGGGCTTAAATTTGATGATTAGAAATAAAAAAATTTCTAGGTTTAGGAAGAGTAGCCCAATGGGCCCAAATTTGTAATTTTAGGATTTTTTATGCTTGACTTGTTTTGATTGTTTATCACTTAATTATGTATTAATTAGGTATGAATTGATATTTAGGAATAAAAATTTACATTGAAATTGAAGAAAATTCATTGAATTACTTAGGGAAGCATTCAACCTAAATCCTTAAATTTTAGGGTTTTTATTCTTTTACTTGATTCATGAATTATTGGTTAATTAGTAGTTGAATAATTATAATTTGATGAGTGGAAGTGAAAAATTTTAAGAAAGTTAAAGAATTTTACTAGAACTAGATTAGGCTCAATTTCTTCCCAATTAGGTTTTAAGCATGAATTTGACCTATAAAGGTCAATTAAATTGATCCTTAATGCTATTGTGTAATTGAATGACTTAGTATTAGAGAAATGGTGATGAAATGAGAAGAAAATAATGAGGTTAAGGTTAAGGTAGCATTTGACCTAGATTGGAACAAATTAGGGTTTAGGTGTAGTTGATTTCTCGTACTCCAATTAACCAATCTAGGCTTAGAATAATTTTATGAGATGAGCTAGGGTGAGAAATGATACCAAAATTAGAAAATTAACCTAAATTACCTAAACTAGGGTTTAGGTTCAATAAGGCCCAATTTTAAGTTTATACATGTAATTAGTCAATTAATACTTAATTGAGTTATTTATTGATGTTAAGGTTCAATTGAATAAAATTAAATAAGAAATTGGTATTGAAATTGAAAGAAAATGTTTGAGTCGCTTACGGTTACCATTCGACCTAATTTTAAAAAGTTAAGGTTAATGGT